GCAAACTCCGTTGCTGGGCAAAGCTCGCGCAAAGTCGCGGGTGGTAAAAGTCACCCGGCCTTGGCGCTCATACATTCGCGAGTGGCGGAGTTAACTTCTCGTGTCGAGGAGTTTTTTCCCAAGAAGAGAAAAAAAAGAAAGGCTATGGAGGGCTCTTCCTAGCGATCCTCCCGGGGTTATCAGATTTTTATAGACTCGTCCTCAGACTTATGTTAGCTGTATGTTAGCTTCCCCGCTCTGTCTTGCCTTCCCCCTTGCGGATTCGTATCCGCTGATGTTCGGTTTCTGTTCGCATTGTGTGTGGAGAGTTTTTCTCGCTCTGAATCACTTTGACGTGTTTGTCCGTACGACAGAAAAGAGGGGACAAGAGAAAAAAGGCTTTCTCCAAGGAAAATACGTCGAGAGAGCGATGACTGTAATTTTTGTCGAGTGCCGCTGTGTGGTGATATTCTTTTGTTTCTCGTGATGCGTTAGATGGGATTTCGTTGTATCGCGCCTGTTGTACACACCTCCAAATTTATTTTAACCGGAATAATACAAAAATTAAAACTAATGCGGGAATTATTTTTTCTAGGTTTTGTTCATACTTAAGTTATACAATGAATTTCGAATGTACAGTTTTGGTTAGAGTAATCAAGTTTATTTTTGTTATTCAAGTGATGTAGATCGTGGTTGTGACAAAGGTGAACACGATCCTGCAGCACAGAGAAATCGATATCGGCATAAATCAATGGACGGGAAGGACAAAGACACAGGTAGAATAAAGTAAGAACTCGAAGGTCCGTTCGTCGAATTTCTTTCTAAGTAAAGATCACGATTACTTAGGCCTTCGACGATCCCGTACTAGTTTTAAGACGATGGGCGGATAGCGATACTTTGATTTACCTCGAGTTATATACGTATTACCATTTCGGCTTATTGTATCCTGAAAACAAGAGGTACAGAGGAACACGACTATATATATGGAACGTCGTTTTACCGAGACTTTGAGGGCTGCTATAAAGGTTCTAAGGGGCAAGCAAGTGCGATAACCTTTCGTGTTTTCTTTTTTCATTCAAACATCCTATGAAACATACTCATCAGCTCCTGATACACGTTCGTTCTTTCACGTATTTACACGCTTGTGCATCTTCACTCGTGCCTGGATGTGCGCAAAATACACTAACGTATAGAGAACCAGAGTCGCATATACATATACGCCTACGAGATATCTCATCGTGTTGCCAGAGGAGGAAGAGAGAAAGAGAGAGAGACAGAGAGAGACGAAGCTGCAGAGCTCACAAGAGATACCGCCTCGGGGCGCGCACGGGCCCGAGCATATTGAATAACTCGTTCGCTGGACCACGAAAATATACCCGCAGCAGTGGCAGGAGCAGCCACCGCCCCCCTCCCTGAGTACGATGGGATCGACCTTCTCTCTGTTCCCCCTTTTATCCTGCCCCAGCGTGGAAAGGACCGTATCCTCGGGGCGAATCTCGTATCTCCTCTGCAAGATTGTGGATACGATGTGCCTTCTGCGCGGATTTGCTGCTCGCTTTGTGAATCCCCTTTTGTTTTTGCGCCTTTTCGCGCACTGGTTGGCATATTATGCATTGTATGTATGTTATTGCTGATGGATAATGGTTCGCGTATGGCTACTTTACGGTTTTTGCTTTTTTTTTCGAGTCACCACTTGCTTCTAACTCTAGTGGATAATTTGTGGGTACTTTTACGAGAAATCGACTGTGTGTATCAGTCAAGAATGGTGTAAGTTCTCATCTGATTGGATGTTAAATTAAATTAATTCGTAGCTTAATAAGAATTTTAGTATTAAGCTTTTAAAATTATAAGGCATACCTTGCGTCTCCAGTGTTGACGTGCCAAATGCATATTCGTACGAATAAATATACACATACAGTCGTCGCGTGAGGGACATTTTGCTATGCGTGGTGTACTAAGCCCTTTTACATGTAGTACCTGCAGATGGAGCCGGTCCAGAGAGAAAATAAATAAAAGAGAGAGACAGAAAGAACACAACCTTTACTTTTGCATCTAGTATACTTATATAGCTGACTCAACGCATACAGCACGTGGGCGCTATAAAATTTGCTGGCTCGACTAAGACTACGGAAAAATGCAAATCTGCTTTCACTGCAGAGCTATGTGCGTGGTAGTAGTGGGAACGTGATGTAAAATTTTTCTCAAGCTGCGGTAATCCGCTATACTGTTGTTTGCATGCATGGCTGTGTGTCTGTGTGTATATCGTCGCAAGGCTTTTTTACCACTTTCGCGCGTAGAACAGCATAAACAGAAACGTGGGAATGTCAAGGGTTTTTTTTGGTTTTTTGGTTCTGTTTTCAAAGTACTTTTTTTTACATTTGTACCAGGCAGGTAGCTTTTTCTGGCCATTTTGCTGGGGGTAAAAAGGCTGCTGTCATGCGCGAGAGTGTAAAAGCGTTTGTTAAGTGACGGCACTTTTAGTTTTAACTCTTGGCTGTGGCTTTTGTTCTTGTTCTCTTTCTGTTCTGTCATAATTTTTTTTTTCGTTTTTTTTTTCGTCCAAGGTGTGAGTCAATTGTTTTGATTCAAAAGGAAATTTCCATCACGAAATAAGGGAATACAGAAATACTACTTATAAAATTACTGTGTTCGTGGAAATATCTGAGTTGGACCAACGGGTTTTATATATGACCAGAATATTGTACTTTTTAATCACCAACAAATGATTCTTTCGCCGAAAAATATCCATGATTTTAAATATCACAGAGAAACATCTCAAGAAATCTTATCAACTCGCATCAAATCTCAAAGGACCCTTGACGCATCGTTCAAACAGTAAACAAGAAGAGTGTTGGAGTACAATCGGCGCCTTGTTACCAGCACATTTTCAAAATTTTCCTAAAATTCATCGAGAAAAGGCTTTGAGAACCGTGCAAATAGTTGAAAAGGTAAAACAGAACATAGAGTGGCCAACGAACTTGGATGACAGAGTTGGGAGTATGTTCTGGTGTGTATATATTTTTGTACCCAATATGTTGCGATAGAGTGTAGGTGGAGGCCGCGAGGAGGAAGTGAAATAAAGACCCCCCGTAAATCAGAGCCCAAAGATGCGTCAGGGGCTTATATTATGCTGTACCGGTAGTGGGCAGCGGTCCTCTTCCGGCAAATTCCCACGCCAGATAAGATGGAAAGAGACGGATGGCGTGTGCACAAAGCGCATGCCTTTCCCTCTCCCTCCGCTCTATCTCTGTCTTGCATATACCAGTAGATCTATACTGTTGAGGAAAAACCAAGGAAGTGAGCCACACCTCTGAACAATAGAAACGCTTTCGAGGACTCGTCTTGTCCTCCTGAGAGCAGTTCTGTGCCAGGTCCTCTTCTTCTTTTACTCCGCTTTTCACGTATACATTATACATGTACACACACACGAGACACACTGTTAGCCCTAGCGAGGAGGATAAACGCAAATCACCAGTCGCACAGTTACATACCTACCTGTCGCGCTATTCCTCAATGGGGGAACCTATGGGGGATCGTCGAAAAAGGTCTTCTCTTTTCGCAAGGATATACAGAAGGGGAAGAAAAAACAACAGCGCCGGAAGAGCGGAAGATGTTTTACAGGTGTCCCGTAGCCGTCTGCCACTGAGCCGATAGATAGAGAAGCATGCACCGTTCGAGGGAGTGTAGCTGTTGCAAGAGAGCGATGATGAAGCCGTGAGCGATTGCCGCCAAGTCGGATTATCATTTTTGCATACCGATGACTGCTTTTTCCAATTTTTCCTCGATCGGAAGGACACACCGTTCATTCATGCCGAGCGTATCGGTAGTCCTGTGCAGTGCAGCGCTTGGTGAGTAGGAAATAACGGTAACACACGTTCCTGTTATAACGCATAGGGTGCATGTGCAGACAACGCGTGTACCAAGGAGACTAAGAAACGAGACGACGAGTATATTATACTTATTCGCTGAAAATACAATTTGAAAGACGTAATTTGAAAATCGGCCGGGCTGCTCGCCCACCCGCCAGACTATGTGCGATGGCGGTGGCGACCCTCCGTCGGACTCTGAAATGAAATTACGCGACCCTACGGTTATACGAGCTATCCGACAGGCGCGTACGTTATATTACGGCCTCTATATATATTTCTCTCTCTCGCCCTCGGTTCTTCTCTTTCATTCGGGAGGCAAGGGCACAAAGGCTTCTCGTTTGCCGAGGACAACATGACGACAATTTGGACTGGAATCCGAGGAGGGGACGATCTCTAAACCGCTAATCGTTTTTCGATTAAGTTTCATTAGAGTCTGTTTACTTGATGAACGGCAATGTAAGGGCGAAAGGCTGCTTGAAATCTCTTTAACGGGATTATTGTTTGTTTGACTACTGAAAAATCAAGTTTTGGATGATTACAAAGTAAAAAAATGTTTGTTTTGGTCAATACGTCAAACAATTACTCATTAAATACAAAATACATTAAAAGAGCCATATGAAGCAATAAGATCTGGATGCAACATTGTAGTCTGACAGTTGATTATCAGTATTAATTTACTAAATGTATGGGATAATCAAGTTTTTGAAAAAGCATACTCCAAAAATGGTACAATGAGATTGTTCCAGCTCAATGAGATACTGTACCGCGTTGGATCGTGAAAAAATCAACACAGGATTTTAAAAATTTTGTTCTCAAAACTTTGGTGCTTGTGTTTTTTTTTTTCTTTCGAAAAGGATCAAGTATTGATTGTAAATACAAGAAACACGTGACATATGTTTTATGCTCATACTTATTGCCTTACTTTACTCATATTGTATCGTTTGCTGTCGATTCTGGCATGACTCTAGTGCCATTTAAAAAAAAAATTTTATTGACATTAAAATTTACTTTCGTATTTTGGACATTCAAAGAGTAAAATTTAATAACTAAATTTTATGAGTAATAAATTTGGCTACCTTATTCCACCCCTCGTGCAACTAATATATACTCGATGATCTTTCCATGTACAATAATCAGCCCCCCTAAACTCACCTGTTCTTAGCAGCCGCGGCTCTGTCCCGCTGCCTCCTGTTCTTGAACCAATTGCCGACCTGCGTGGGCGTTAGACCTGTCGCCATGGCAAGCTCCTTCTTCTTGCCCGGGTTCGGGTAGGGATCCTGCAGGTACCACTCGCGCAGCAGCGACCTCGTCCGCTCCTTAAAACAGTGGGTCTTTTGTTCGCCGTCCCATATAGTCCTCGGCAGTGGATATTTCTTTCGGACTCTATACTTGTCGACCGGCCCGAGCGGCCTGCCACGCAGCTTTTCGGCCTCCTGATAGTGGGCCTCGAGCCACATGGCCTGGAGCTTGCCGTGCGAGTCCTTGGTGAACTTGTGCCTTTCCAGTATCGAGTATAGTTCGCGGTAGTGGCCCGAATGAAAAGCGACGATCGCTCGGGCCCTCAGGACGGCCTCACTGTTGTTGAGTTCCTGGAAGTTGGGCAGGGCGACGGGCAGACTCCAGAGGAACCTCGCAAGCCGCTCTATATCACCCGACTCCTCGAGGGTCTCACAGACCGTCGATACCTGCTTGGCCGTGAACGCGAGGGTTGGCAGAGCCGTCAGGAAGACCGGCGACGGCACGATCGGGCCGTTTGCGGGGCTGCTAGGTTGGGCGCTGTTTGGGGTGACCACTGGTGCCGTTGACATTGCCGGCGCCATCGTCGATGACATCTCGTTGTCACTACCACCGAAGTCTGACGACGACGCGCCTGACACCAAGGCTTCGCTCGCCTGGCCCTTCGTCACTTTGTCGGCCCGTATGGTACCGCCTTTCGCTGCTGCGATTGTCCTTCTGGTGCTATTCTCGCGAAACGATATGACTGTCAGTCCTTTCGCGAGATTGTGCACACGTTGTCGCTCATATTTTCGCTGCCTTCACTGTCGACCTTAACATCGTTGTTACTACTGTTTCGAGCTTTCTTCTAAACACACAACACGTGGGCCTCAGTTTGTTTCTGTAAAGGGTATGGATTAGCTTACCTCCCACTTGATTGCACTAGATAATTTTTGGTTGTCCTATCACTCCCAACGGCTACTGTTCGTTCACACGTAATGATAATTCGACAGCTTCGACACTTGGGGACAAATGACCAGATCATTACTCTTATTTTATTTTATTTTATTTTTTTGTTTATCAGTGACACAATTATCACAAGTGTTGGTACACATGCATGATAGCTGGTTTTCTTTGCACTAGTGACGAGTTCACGTCAGCGATGGTGCTGGTATATTTTTTCCATCTCATTCCAGGTACTCCACTGTCATCGCAAAAAAATCTCATCATTTCTGCCCGACGACACTTTTACTCCACTAATTTCAATCATTAGCATCACATTATTCATGTCTCAAACGTCCCTCCCCACGCTGAATAGCTAAGCAATCACGTGACCGTGCCCATGGCAAAAGTCAAAACATGCCCCGAACGAGTCAATAAACAAACAAACGAGTAAATGAGACGAGGGGCCGCATGCGCATGTAAGCTTGGGCTGAGCCAAAAGGTTGTACAAGCGAGCGAGTGCGCGAGCAGCGTGCTGCCTCGATGGTATCGGATGGCAAACTGGTTTAGTTTACAAGCCGGTATCTCCGTGCCACGCAGCGGCTCTACCCCTCAGCATGATACGTCTCTTTCTCCTCTGCGTATCCTTAACCGTGGCACACACATGCAGCCTCCTCCGCAAGCCAAGCCCCGGAGCAGGAGTCACACCGGCATCGCGTTGGTGGTAGCTACTCACACAGATGGCTCGAGAGTAAAGGGGGAGGGCAGTCTGTCTCGCTCGCACCCTCACCCACCCTGTGGTCCTGCCTCCTTTCCCTGGCACCCATTTCCTCAGCATAGGCGAGGCTTAATCATTCTCTTTCCCCACCACTGGGCCGTCGGGGCTAATGTCTAAGCCACGCCTGCTGAGAGCCAGCCGGATTGGCCGGATCCGTGTGCCGTTGCCAGGAGCGACCGGGCATACTGAACTATCCCCACTCTGTAACGGTATACCCATACCCGCGACTCGCGAGAGTCGCGAGGCTTGATTACCCCCACTGCTGGAATATATATGTCTCTCGTGCATGCACGCGGGACTCATCCCCTCCATTATGGGGAGCTAACTGAGTTCTGTGTGTGCGTGCATCACCCGATTCTAACGCACAACCCTGGTAATTCTCGCTATATGTCTATGTGTATATATATATA